AAGAATGCCTAGGATTTCTACTTCCTGCAGATAGGTTTGCCCCAGCTACTGTAGTGAGAACGAATTAATTTTTTCCCAGCCTTTTGAAAACGAGACCTAACTCAACCTTACTGTAATACTACACTGAGTTTCATTTGGAATAAACTGGATTGTTTGATGGACAGTCAGTGTTCCCTGACTTTTCAAACCTAGGGTAGGGTAGGAAAAGTCTGTATATATATCACCAGGTTCATTCATGCTTTTCCATCAGGATTTCTTCCTGTTTAGATTAAGGTTTCTGAAGGTATACTGCAAATTCAATAGCAAAGCACATACCACTTTTAAGAAGACATCTATAAGGATCAGCCACACAGCTGGCTGACCAGTGTGGTGTGTGGGTCTCAGCAGCCTGACATGTGTATATGTCAAGATGGAGCATTTCATGCAGATAACATGTAGTCTCTGGGGAGAAACTCTCCGTATTTAAAGATGATCGCTGCTGTACTATCCACTACTTCAGGATGGCAGGCACTGTACTCTATTGTTCATGCTACTTTTCTCGAAACAATTGTGACAGGTCAGAGATCTCCATTGCTTTGTAAAATTAACTGTGATAACCAAATGTAAAATGGAAATTAAAAAAAAAAGTTTATGCACACATTTTAAACACGTCTTCTTTAGACACACGTTCAGAAGCTTTAAGTGATCTTCCCTGACACATGTAGGTGAGAAAGCCTCTGAAGTGCCTGTGTGCTTTCTGACCATTTCTTTTTTTCCTGAATACTTCAGTGCAGGTGGGCAGTAGGGTCCTGACTTGAGTCAGTTTGAGCTGTCTGCAGTTCCTCAGGGGCTACATCTCACAGAGAGCTGGTGGTTGAACCCTGTGGAGAAGAGCTGCTCTAAGGAGAATAGCTGACCCAAGCATTTTCAGGTGTGCAGCTCAGGAAGGCGGTCTGTACTCTTTTCAAACTGTAAGCTCACTTCAAGTCCTGTGACCAGTTAGACTAGTGGGCAAGGGCCACCTGCCTCTCAGGCTGCCAATTTAGTAGGCTGGAGCATAAACAAAGACTGCTGCTACAGGGGACAAAATAGCCTTCTCTTGCCAGCTACTTCGCTGCAGCCCCAGCCACCAGCCAGTGCAGGGCTTCCTGGCTCTTGCTGTGGTCACTTCAGTATACAAGCATGGCTGTCGGTCAGGTGCTACTGCACCTTCTGAAATAAAAAAAAATCTTGATAATAAAAAAGCTCCTTTTATGCATTTACCTTTTATTGTTCGTGATGGGTGATGATAGTGTTACCAAATGGATCCCCTACCCATACTGTCTTACCTCACACGAAATTAAAAATTAAAACGAATGAAAACAGATTTTTCAGAGCATTTAGGAACTTAGAGATTCCTCCCTAAAAAGCTAGCACTTGGTTGTTTTTTTAATGCTAGGAGATTTAACTGAGAGAGACTAGCCTAATGTTCCCACTTGTGGAATTCCAAGAAAGTGGCTAATGGTTTTCCTCTGGGTCTAAAATTTGATTACAGATGAATATTGCTGCTTGAAGTTGTATTCTTAAACAGAAAGGTGATGCAATTTCTAGGCTGAAGTGGTGGCAGTGGAAGAGGCCAGGACTCTGGAATTTGTTTTAAATAAATAATTATTTTACTTTACAATCTGTAACATATATGATCTTACATAGACCTACATATGATCATATGATGAGTATGTCATAAAATTTCTGAGAGAGAGAAGAGTCATTATTTTTAAATGTAATGCTGCTCATTGTAAGCAGCAGCCCATAATTAGTTTCTCTGGATATAGTCAGTCATGTAGTCACATCCACCCTAACTTAAATGTCCTGTTACAAAGAGAGGTCACCTGAGTAACTGAGCGACAAAACTGGCATTCTGTTATGGTGAAGTTAACAAATCAGTTATAAAGATTCTGATTCTTTTACTCACTTGAAAGGATGTTACATGCAGAAGTACAGATGTTGCAGATGTATATGATCATGGTCACAAAAATTATTGGATTATTCTAATAATCTTGTTTAATTATTTCAATCCATAATAACCTGTAATAGTTAACTAACAATTCATCAGACAATATACTAATAATTTACTAGTCAATGATAAGGTTCATGTAAGTGTACCCTTGATATGAATTTTCACTCAGTATTATCTGACAAGTAACAAAATCAAGTAGCTATCTGGAGTGGCTCCATGCTCCTTAAAAAGATCCTATTCCATATGTATTTGTTTCTGAATAAGGAAAAGTACACATGAACATTTGATCATTTCATTCATTCATTTAATGCCTCTGAAAGGGAAATCCATCTACTGCCTCACAGGTTCTTTGGTTTGAGAATTTAGTGCATAAGCAGAGCAACACAAAAATGCTTGTACCATTCAGTTTGTACAGCCAGCCTCTGCATTAGTATCTTTCAACTTTTATTTTAACTGTTCTTTCAATCTGTCTGCAGCTTTTTGACTCGTTTGTAGAATCTTTTGTAGAAACACCATTCATATATTAAAAGATTCTAATTTAAACCATACTTTATGAAATTAAATATTTCCCAAAGAAGCAGTCTTTCCAAAAACGAGTCAGTTTTCTATGAAAGCGTATGACCAGATTATTGCCATTTCCATGGATGGAGGTACGAAAGATTACACTATCAGCAATACCATGTTTTAGGTAAAGGTGTTTTTAAATACCTACGATAAAGTCATAAGAGATTATTGTCTCTTCCTCCCAAAACTATTTAAAAGAATGCTTCAATATTCAAATAGAAATCTTTACAGTAATTTAGAATTCCAAAGCATGACAATTAAACACCCTTAAAAAAAAATATACTGTGGGAAATATTAGACTAATTACAATGAAAATAAACAGCAAGTTGTGTTTCTATGTTTGTGAGTGGAAGCCCAGTGAATACAGAATTTACAATATAATTGCAGACTGCTTACATAATACTATATAATTTAGTTGCCACAATGACAAAGAGGAATATTGCTGCCTTGACGGATTGAGAAGGTGTTTAGAAATTAATACATTAGTTATCAGCAAAACACAGTCTGACAATTTGACTAACTGTTGGAAATAACCTACATAATGACTTATATCAAGCATACCCACATGCAAACACTGGGTAATAACTGCGGAATAATTTCTACCCTTTCAGTAAATGATGTGTGCTGTGTGTTTGTGAGACTTGCTATTTTCAAACGACTGACTTAACAGTGACATGAAACAGGCCAATTCTGCTGGCAGAATATGTATACACACATATAGATGCACACACAGAGAGGCAGAAAACTGCATCAGAAAATCTCACCCAATTATCAGTGAAACTGAAGCGTAATTCTAAATATATGTCTATATTTTAACAGAATGTTGTCAACATTAATAAAAAAGTACTATTATAGGCATTCATTTAAAATGGAAAAAACTTGCACAAATGAGAGCGTGAAAATCAGCTTTGGGCTGAGTTCTATAAAGTGCACCAGGCGAACAGGTCCATACAGGTCCTAATGCAGTAAGTGTGGATATGCAACACCTGACCCAAGTCTCTGACTGACCAAAGTTTTCAGCAAGAAGTATGGTATTTTGTTCACAACCTGTGTGACCATTTTTACCAGAAATTGACACATACTCACATTGCTACAGAAGTATCCTGCTTTCCCAGTGTCTGAACTTCAATATCTTTTGAGAATAAAACTTGAAATTCGCTTAGAATATAACAGTAAAGAATCAAGTGAGGGTAAAATACCATCATATTTTTGTAGCCTAATACTAGGTTTTTCTCTTTTTTTATTGAAAAGGGTTTAAAATCTATTGGATTTTCTACTGTAGAGATCTTGTTTTATGGAATATGTTTAAGCATAGCTATTACCTGTGACATTTTCACACATAAAGACCAAGCTGAAATAGTGATAAAGATATATATACATGCATGTGTATGTATATATAGGCATATATATAATATGCATATATGTGCATATGTGTAAAAATATGTGTACGTACATATATATATGTGCATGTATCTATATAGAAATATAGATACATACATATATATGAGGGTGTATATATATGTTTTTTAAAGCTGAGCTGTGCCATTTTATTGGAGACAACAGTCTGGATTAGAGCGTACATCCCATCAATAGCTTTGGGGTACCAGGCAACATTCTGTAACCACTGGATAAAAGTGAAAATTCTCTTGTGTCTTTCCAAAATCTCATAAATAAATTTCAGTTTTAGGTAATAAAACCTCTGGCCAGTCCTCCTTCCCCTTCCCCCATGGGATCAGCATCACATTGCAGCCTCAGAACTGAGCCCCCATACTAGAAATTGTCATAATCCAGGCCTAAGCTCCAACCTCTTCTCCAAAGACATGGGTAATTAAATTATGGTAATGTTGTTGGTTAGAGGAAAACACCAGATGCCGTTAGTCTCTCGATTTTACCCAAATTCAATTCTGTCAAGTGTTTGAAGAGAGTGATACCTTGGTTGTGTGAGGATTGAGACCACTGTCTTTTATTTCTTCAGAAGTCAAATATATTGAATTGCTAATATTGTGTCAGTCACTTAATATTTTTTATTGTTTTAAAACCCCTTTAAAGTATTCCAATCCAAAGCCAAAAATCAACATTACAGAAATTTTCCAACTTGAAGTTGTTCGTATTTGCATCGTGCTGTTAAAGCAACAGATATGCTGTATTGTGTGCAAGACACATGTGTCCCAAGACACAGGAATCCTACTAAACAGTATTAGCTTTTTTTTTCCCAATGAGTTCTCTTTCCATTCTCTTTCGCATTATGAGAAATGATGGCATGTAAAAATCTCTTTCATAAAAACAAAATGAAACTGTTGTATGTACTTAAAATATGTGTGGGGAAAACCATCACAAGTAACAGTATGTAAAGGCACAGATGAATAAACTGGTTAATTTATCATTCAAGAGTTTGCAGATGTGAAGGCTCAACTCCCCATCTAAGATTGTTCACTTTAAATAATGTCATTATTGATTTTAGGCTATTTGATCATTCCATGGAAGGATTCAAAAACTGGGAGTTTATGACTACTCACTGCTGGAGTGAAAAAGCAGCGGGTGACTGGATCTTGGAAATATGTGACACTCCATCTCAGCTGAGAAATTTCAAGACTCCAGGTATGACTCTAACCTTTATTTGGGCTCAGTGAATTCAGAAGAATTCTTCCAGTTGCTAATACTGCCTTGACTGTTTTCCACCTTTTATTTACAGCTGTAATATCTCACTGGTTTTAGTGTGAAGGTAGAGCTGTGAAGAGCATTATCTTGATTTCAGTTATCAATGCACTCTTTGTTTTTATGTTGCTGTTATTTGCCATTTAAGACACATGGTTCTCTTTTATTCTGAACTTACTTCTGGTTTCCATGGAGAATTCCATCTTCTCAGGGCTAAACTGCCCTTTTTCTTGCAGTCACATGTGTTCCCTTAAAGTATAAAAAGAGACTTTGCATTTAGAACTACATCATACCAGACATGAATTCTTCATGCAGACAGACCCCTGTACGATCTGACAGGTTATCAAGAGTCTGTGCTATAAGCAAAGCCAAATCTGTACTAGGTGGAGTTTTCAAAGAAAAAGACACAAAGCTGCATGAAGTGGCATGTGCCACCTTTGAAAGAAGTCATAGTATCTCCATATGCAGGCATCTGTTCCCTTGGATGTTGAATACAGATTTATCATACAAGTCTTCAACATAAGTTAGAGCAGCTCAGAGTTACTCTGCTGTATTCATATTGCATGTGACTTTCATGGCAGATACAGGGCCCATTTCTACTTCACCTATATCAGCTATATAGGGCTCAGAGGTTTATTTTCATGATGTTTTTCTTTGTATTTTTTGTCCTACCTATAAGAAAAAGTGGCATTTACTGGTGTTTACACATCTAGAAAATCCCACTATACAAGAGACAAAAAGTCAAGGCTTGGTTGCATCATGCTCCTGTGTGTATGGGCAGAGTGCTCAAATCTGGCATTTGTCCACTCACAAAGTGTGGTGCTAGTAAAAATTTTTGAGGCTACAGACTTTCTTCTGCTTTTAATTCCCACTGCACAGTTTAGTTTCATTTATATATTTCAGTATAAGCACTTTGACAGAAACAGAGATTGAGAGAAGGGCTTTCAAAGAGATTAATGGGAGTACATCCTTGCTTCTATTTGCTGGTTATGAGAGATGAGTATATACTTGCCTTTGGATTTACTGAAAATTTAAACTTTAAAAAACATTTTGAAATAGATACATTATATGCACACAAAAATACCACAGTTTATGCATGAATACTGAATATAGTCCTTCCTTTGGAGCCCCACATCAAAGTAAGTGAAACCCCTTAATAAAACAGGTAAAGGTGAAATATCACTTAAACAAATATTCTAGATTAAAACATGTTAGACGGATGAGTGCTACTGATGTATTAGAAATCATTTATCACTAAATCTAAATGAACACTTACTCTGATTGGACAGCATGTCAGAATGCAGTATTATGTTGGAAGTGACAAATCTAGTTGATTATTTTCTCATAGATAAAAATTAATTATAAGAATTCTACTATGAAATGTATTTACGATTACAATGATATTAGCAATAGAGTTAGTTTATAATTCAATGAAATAAAAGATACATTCCATCTCAAGCAGCTAAGTAAACTCACAAACCAGTAGGAGTTTTCTAACTGATTTGCTAAAAATCAGTTCTGCATCTTAATCAATTCTGCATCTTAAGACATAGACGTTAACTTAAAGTACTTGAAGCTACAAAAAATATATCTTCTTGAACTTAACAATAGGGGATTTTTACGTATGTTTGTTCCTGAATTAGTAGGTTATTGGAACTCATTAAAACTATTCAAATGAGCCTAGCTAAGTATAAGTACTTTTATTGTTTCTGCTACATGAAAAAACACACTTAAATAAACATTGACTGAAGTGCCAACTGAAGTGCTTAAAAGCTTTGAGTTTAAAATAAGAAAGGCTAGCATGATAGGGCATAAGTAGTTGACTATTCTAGAAGAATGTCAATTGTTTCAATTCCACTTAGTCCAAGAAAGGCCCATTCATGTTTCTGCCATCAGATACAGAGATGGACTACTTTGTCTTCCTCTTGCTTGAAATTTGGTTTGTTAAGTTATTCAGATTGGAATGAAAGCTATGTGCAGTTCACCTGTTCAAGGTAAATGTGCCTTTCTGGGCGGCCAGCCAGTCCAATCACTCCTGCAGCTCACAAACTCAGTAGGACTATTTCCATCATGACTTAGACAACACGTAACTTAATTTTAATCAGATTACTGAAAAGGGACAAAAATCAATGATTTTCAACTGCATCTTTCACTTGTTGCTCCTGATGCAGCTGAGAACATCTCTGTCTTGAAGGACAAGTTAGGGTAGCCCTGCTTGTAGCTCTTCAACGGAACCCAGTAGTTCATCCAATAGGCATGAAGGAGAGCTACAGTCCAACACATTTCAGCTATTCCCCTCTTCTCTCTTCCCTGGCACACTCTCTGTACTAAAGCCTAGAAAAGAGGTAGCATAGAGCCTGTTTTGCAAACTGTTCTTCCGGTCTATTCTCCAGACATCTTTTACAGCTCTTTTATGTCACCAGGACAGTCTAAAAGTGGCCAGCTATATTTCCATCTTTACACTTTAAAGCCTGTTCCTGCACACTCCTATTTTATATACATAGTTGTATACGTCTTACAGATTTATTGATTTCAGTACTTTATATATACTTTTCTCAGTGCTACAGTGGCTAATCTCCTGGGACTGATTTCTTTTCCTCCATGAGGACTAAAGCCTAAAGACCCAGCTCTGGAAGAAAAGGGACAGTAAGGCCAAGGGACGTGGAGAAAGCAGACCTGCCCAACCAAGGGTTGTAGAAGAAGCTGATATGCTGATGGAGAGCTTGCTCTTTACTCTCTTAACTGGAATGTGACACAGTGCTTGAGACTAGTTAGGTTTTTACACGCATTTGGATTTCACAAGATGCAGACAGATTGTGAATTTGGATCCTGGTTTATTGTATACTGTATAATAATACATCCCCCAGCGTTCTAGAGCTGTGGTTACCCTGTGATGGAAGCTGTCCAGTAACACTTCCATTCAGAAAGATTTGAAAGCGCCTGCTGTGTATTAGTGGTGGATAAAACTCAGCTGCTTGGGCATGTTGGGGTTAGTCTCCACGCTGAACAGAATGTGAAGTAAACAATTGGTGCTTAAAGACAATTTATAGTGCCTCTCCGATTTATCACCGTAGCCTGCAGTTTATCAAACTGATATCACCATCGTGCCTATTTCTTGTTTCTGTTGTGTGCATGTTTGTTTAGCTATTGAAAGGTCTTATAATTAAGAGCTGCAGTTTTCCTGTAATCAGATTGAGAACAAAGAGCCAGCATGTCATCATATGCCTGCATTGGCAAGGTAATGCCACATCTGTTACCCGTAAAGAAATGCAGGATCCGGTTTATAAAAGTAGTGCATGTGATTTCTGCATTTAATTCTGTAGAGTTTATGGAGGTGGACGTATGCTTGCTGTGAGACACTGTGATATACCCTTTCTCCTGTACATACAATATGGGACCTCTGTTACATACTAAATACAAGCAGGGTACAGGATTATTCTAGCCAAACTAAATGACAGAATCAGCCAAAAATGGGGAAAGAAAGATTTTGGCTTAAATGAGCCCATTTTGTTTATTCATCATAAAAGTCTGTGTGTATGTATATGTACTTACTTATTGAAATATTTTCATTGTGCAGATTAAACCTGCCTTGAGGCAGACTTCATTTATTTGCTGGCAAGTCACATGAATTTTTCCCCTCTTTATTTACTAAACCATTCTTAAAATGCTACTAATCTCCTGAGAGACCCTGCATTATTCCCGTTACTGCCCTTTTGCATTAGGCATGCATTCAAAGCACCAGTCCTTGCTGCAGTAATGTTAGTACAAGCCCTTTCAGGTGCTTAAAGTCCAGACACAATACACTGTGCCTGAGGAGTGTCTTTACCTGTGGTTAATTTTAGTGGATCCTTGCAAATACTTTTTTCTAGTGCTCAGTATTTTTACCGGTGTTCTGGAAGAAGTATAAAATCAGCCCTTGGAATGTTTAGTGATCTTTGGAGAATAATAATGATAAGGATGAAAAGATCTGAATAACTTAGCAAAACACACATTTTTTGATTGCATCCAATATATTATGGTTCATATACTGTAGAAGTGGATTAAAACACAGAAAGGACAGAGACTGTACATGGATGAACTGTAGCTTTGAAATGGCTGTTGAGATGACTGCATATCGGGTTAAAAATGAGCTCCCTGTGTGACTCATTTCCTAATTTTTTTTTTTTGTACGGACCCAGCCAAATCATTCTGAAGAACATTGACAAGTAACTTGATCCCCACATGTCTATACAGGAAGAAAATATTTGATTTGGGTCTTTTTAATTTAGTGGAGTCTAAAGAGCTACATGGCTGTGGGCTGGAGGTTGGAAAAAACAAATTGGAAATAAAGTGCATGCAGTTTTACAGCCAAGGTAATTAGCCAGTAGTTTGGCAGCAGGTGTGGTAGACTCTTCATCGGTTAATTTTTCAAATCAGGATTGAATGTCTCTGTAAAAAAACGTAATGCTTTGCTTTAGGTGTGAAAAGTTGGAAGATATTGTGTGAAACAACTGTCACGTGATGTAGTCTGTTGCCTATAGTTTCTTCTCAAAAACTGAGTATAGAGCAGAGAAGGTTTCATATGAAGTGTGGAAATTTCTGTCCCAGAAAGATTAAATTGGGTTGGTAAGAGACAGAGAGATAACAGAGATTTCTATCTTTAACCCCAGAATAAACCATTTAAAAGAATTAGGGTGTCATCTGTTGGGTAGTGGTTTTGCTTATAGTTGCTTACCGCTTGAAGGATGAACATAAAAACAGAGAAATAATATATTGCCGTGGTCATGTCAATGGAGGATACAAGATGACATTGGGAAAAATACAGAAAATCACTTACAAAGGTCAAAGTGATTTCCTTGCACAGGTTGAAAAAGTCCAAGTGAATAATATGAAAGCTCAAATTACTGCATATTATTGAAATGAAAGCAGAGAAAGATTGCTTGAATTTAATTTTACATGAAGTATACTAAGAGTTTTTCTGGAGAAGAGGCATAACTGCATTACATTTCTTTTTAAATAGTAGTTCTAATAGAAGAGTATTTTAACTACAAAACAGCCTCCAAAACAGGATCTTTCAAAGTCAGAAAATAAATACTTCCTGGTCCTCTGTTTCCTTTCTCTTCTGATGAGAATTCGACATTTACAACTAGCTACTGCAACATAGATAAATATAATCGAGAGAATAGTATTAGACGAAACTTACATTCCACCTTTTCATGCATGGATGTAGTTTTTATTTATCATTACTTTAGGCATTATTTCAGGCCTGAGTCCTTTTGCTCTTTCAGAGAATTAATTCACTGGGTAGTATAGACAGAAAGGTGGGGACTGGAAGTTCACACTTTGTGTCGTGACAGCCTGAACTGATGACTTGATATACATTTATCTTTTCATTCTTCCATAAAAACAAACTTGCCAGTTTTTATAATGCTTCAGGCAAGCAAACAATTTTTTCTTGCTTCATTCAAGTACTGAGAGGATGAAATATTAGCGATGAATGCAGACAATGCAGTGATATATCTGCCAAATAGCAAGGGCAAATAAATAAGAAATTATACTGGTTTTGGAGGGGAGACTCCTGTTCTACCATGAGCATTTTAAAAGAAGTTGCTTCCTGTTCATTGATATGTGTCCTGTAAGGCAATGAAAAGTACTCTTGAGTAATAAACAAAATGTGATCCCTTTCTTAAGTCAGAATTCTGAATACAGATAGTTAGCTAAAAGATCTTATATAATAATTACTGGATAATTAATGTTCTGAGCCATAGTGAAATCCAGAGCAAAAACTCCTTGTTTAGTACCGTGTACATCTTCCAGATATATCTATGGCCAAAGGTTTTGTTATTTATTGTTTATACTGAGTTCAACGTGTGGTGCAAACTTTTAGTAGACCTATAAGAGCCTGGAGCACAATGAAAATACTGTGTAAAAATCTGATTGGAGAAAGGCTTTCTCAGTTTATAGTGAAGCAGCTGTCTGTATTAAACTGAAGACACTTATTAGAAAAACAGTGTCTTCCATACCTACTCACAAAGTCGTGTTTATAAGTGATACGTTTCTGTAAGACATGGAAAATAGAAATGGTTTCTAAAACTAGATTTTAAATCTTTAACTTCTAGGCAAATTGAAAGAGTGGTCCTTAGTACTGTATGGAACATCCACTTACAGAAGATTATGGAACAGATGACTATTCAGGTGTGTACATTCATTTGATGTGATCATGCATTTACTGAACACATAATAGGGTAAACATAGAGTTATATATCTTTAAGCTACACTTAGCATACTGTGAAGAATGCACTGATTTTCGTATAAACATATATAAAAATATATATACGTACATATGCACACACATATGTAGTGTTGTTTCTCACTGATCCCTGTAGAAGTTTTTCAGCCTTACTAGACTTTAATAGAGCTAGATTTTTGGCACTGCAAAATATGTCAAGTTGGCAGTTTCCTACATGTAATCCAACATTAGGAGCATCGTGTAAGATGGTTAGGACTGATGAATCTTAAGTATAGCTCCGGAAAGCAAATAGCAGGACAAAGTTCAATTTAGAAGTTTCTATTATTACAGTCTCCTGCCACAGCACATCAGAGCCGCAGTCCCTATTTTAGATTGAGAGCTGCTGAACTCCTTGTTTTGGTAGGTAATGAAACACTGCTATCTCTGCTGTAAAGGTCACTAGCTTAAGTTAGAAGCAAACTCACTTTACTTCAAGTTTACCTGATGTTAGGAGAAATTTCGAGGTGGCTGGCAAACTCGTCACATTTCATTCACAAGAGAGCAGTGATCCTGAAAGTTATAACTTCACCTAAGGGCTTTGTTCACCTACACAAAGGCAGGAGTTGATGGTTCTCTCCTTTCATAGCAGGAAGGACCTATTTGAAAACTGTAAACATAGAATCATAGAATATCTCAAGTTGGAAGGGACTCATAAGGAGCATCAAGTCCAACATGAATGCGGGTGAGATGGCAGACTTGCTGATCAGCAAGAATTAGCCGAGGCTTTTGCAGCTTATAGCAGCACAGAGGGAGGCGCATCTGGGCCCAGGTGGCTGTTTCAGTTGGCCTGTGGTAGCCACTCAGACCAGTTGCTACCCAGCTGGTAACCAGAGTAGCCACTGATCATGTTGTTCATCATTTATGTTGACCTGCTTGTTATAAGAGATTTTGCTAGTAGTTTCTTATTATGAATTACAGAAGCCCTTGCACATTTCTGAATAAAATTCAGAATGATCTGTTACTCATTAGGAAAGCATCTGTTTGGATCCAGAAATAGTTTCTTTCTGATAGATTCTGTAGAGGATGCCACACTTGCTAAAAATTATAAATCACTGTGAATAATTACCGAGGCCAGGATTTGCAAAGGTCTTCAGGTACTAAAAACTTCTCTTTTTGGTAGAGCCAAATTACTGTCTGGAATTCACATCAAACAAGGAAACAGAGTAATTGCATTCTGCATGAAAACACAATGTTTTGAGAGGTGGTAAGTAGTAAATGAAAAGTTTTAATCCCTTCCCACCCTGTATTCTGGTTTTATTACAGGACCCTGCAATGCAGAATGCAGTAAAGTAGGGTGTGATGGGCCAGGACCAGATCACTGTACTGACTGTCTGCACTACTACTACAAATCGAAGAACAACACACGGTAAGACCAAAAATAAAAAATCTTTATTTCATAGATTTCTTAGTGTATATCTTAACTTCCTTTCCTCTTCTCTTTGCTGCAGTCATGGATAATTCATTTTCCACTGAATTTGACAAATTTTCTTAGTAGTTGGAAAAAAAAAAAACTAGCTAATCAGAATTCAAACACCCTTCTTTGATTATTTCCCCATATATTGATTATTTTTTCATAAGAGGCTATATATATATATATAACTGTGATAGCTACAACAGCTTCTGTGATTGAGTTTGAACAAGACAGGAAGAAATGTAGATGGTCAAAAATGATACTGTGTGACTGTCTGACAAGGCACTTGCCAGTGAGATAATATGTGCTGTAGGGAATAAATGGAAGAGTCAGCTTGATGCAATGCTTTGGAGAGCTACATCTTAGTAAATACATGATCATTAGACAAGCAGCAATGCTGAGAAATACTTCTGCTTTGCAGTCATGGTCCAGGAATGTGGTGGCAGGTTATTTCATTAACGACTCTGCCTTCTCTTCCCTGCTGTCTGCAGGATCTGTGTTTCGACCTGCCCACCTGGTCACTACAATGCAGACAAGAAACGCTGTAAAAAATGCTCACCCAATTGTGAAACCTGTGTTGGAGGCCATAGTGACCAGTGCATGACCTGTAAATCTGGCTACTACCTGAATGAAGTAACCAATAGCTGTATTACCAACTGCCCTGATGGGTTTTACCTGGATAAGAGTTAGTATTTCTTATTGTTTCTTTATTGTGGGCTACAGAATTTGATATGGGGAGGTTGCTGGAATACTTACAAGCAGGAAAAGTGTATATTGATGCATCTATCTCTTATCCTATTCCTCCTGTTAAATTGTTGCCAAGTGTGATCAAGAATCTCCTCCTCCTCAAAAATCTTCCTTTATTTTAAAAACCAAGCTTAGTGGCAAGGTGTCTTTTCTGCTTGTGGCTGGGAATAGCAGAATGAGGGCAGTTCAGGAGCAAGTCAGCTGGAGAACAGAGCAGGTTATCACTACTCCAGAAAGGGACAGGCAACACCCACGTTCTGAACAAGAGGCATTCCCCATTACCCAAATTCAAACGATATGGCACCAGACAAAAGAGAGAGCGGAGGAATCAACCATGGCCACTGAACTGGAAAGGAAGGAAAAACATCTAAGGAAAACAGGCTCTTCAGATGTAAAATGTGGTGCGATTAATGTTTTGTGACAGACCTAAGTATCTGCAGTGATTTGATGACCCAAGAGCAGTAATTTTATGCCGTGTGAGACACCTGCCTTCAGTTTCCTCCTGTGATTGCCAAGTAGACTGCCCGTGTCTAATTTCCAGCTTTGGCTAGGAAAAATACTTAGACACATATTCAAACATGTGCTTAAATCTGCAGTGATTTCAGTTATATTTAAACACATCCTTATAAGGTAAATATGTGCTCAGGAGCTTTGTTCATCTAGGTACCTAACCTTTTGCATTCTGCATCATGAACCTGTGTGTTCATTCTCAAGAATTAGTAAAAATGGGTACTACTTTAAATCTTCCATGTTTCACTGTGTGAGAACTACTGTAAAGGGAATTTCTTTCCACCTAATTAAGATGGGTAGATGAAAATTTAGGATTAAATGGGAACATTGGGTTTTTCTTCTCAGAAAGGTACATGGCACTGCATCTCAAAAGACGGCAAGTCGGAAGAGAGACAGACATCTCTTACAGTAGGAAGCTCTTGACGTGAAAAGGCAGGTGTTAAGTAATTGATATGTTGACTTTGATGAGATCAGACCTGTTCATGCAGGTATGTCTTTAAGCACCAAATTGGGAAGACAGGGCAGGCTGCTTGCATGGAAAGTGTAAGAGGTAAATTGCAGGACAGCCTCTGGAACACATGGCAATCGTTACTGCATATCACTGCTATAGGAAAAGATGATTGAAGTCCATATTATAAAAAGTTAATGTAAATTTAAACTATTTATTAAGATTTTTTAATGATCTCAAAGCATATTTTTCTCCGGGTATAACTGTAACTTCAAATGTTTAGAAATAGATTAAACCATTTGATGTTTGATGGAAAAAGCTATGATAGGCAGAATTTAGCTATTTTAGTCTAGCTTGCTGCTTCCCTTCCTGATGCTAGTCTAGAAAGCAACAAGTCATGTAATAATATATCCATATAATTTTATTAAACATAACTGACCAAGGTTTTCTGGACTGTTTTTTGTTTTCCTTTGTAGATAAGATTGTTTGCCGAAAATGTAGTGAAAACTGTAAGACATGTGTTGAATTCCAAATCTGCACAGAATGCAAACATGGCCTAAGGTAAGGAAATGATGGGTGTCGCTAAATACAATACCTGAAGTGACTTGAAAGGCTGTGGATGCACAATTAAGAACATCAGATAGCTATTTAACCTTGAGTGGCCCTCATTTCATTTGTTCCATCACTGTTTAGTTTATACTGTAGTATTTTCTTGTGCCAGTTTGGCTAGCAATGGATTTTTAGAAGACCTTTCATTTCAGGTAAGATAAAAGCCACAGCCATGTGGAAAGCTGGCTTCTTCACTATTTTGACCTGCAGTGTGGCAGTCCAGGATTGTTTTAGAGGTAGAGCTGATGAATCATATTAATCTTTCTGATTCATTCCTGTGATAGTTATAAACAGTTTTCTTATCTTTACTGTATTTCTTCATACAACCAGTCATTCACTTAAATACCTCAGGCTCAATTCTGTTACAACATAGTGTGCACATATTTTAGACAGCAGTGGATATGTTTGCTTCATAGGGGGACTTTATCATTCTGGAAACTCATAGGTAAAACCTCCAAAGCAGCAGTACACATTTCAGGCTCCTTTATGAATGAATGACCTTTTGATCCAAGCAGCAAAGGTCAAAAATCCTATAAAATTCATGACGGAATGTATGCTGGCTTTATGCCATGAAAAATACTAAGTCAGTATTCAGTATCTGTAGGGGTTCTTGCAGAATACAAGTGTTCTGAGAATGTTTTAACACTGAGCTTTTACCTTCCATCAAAGTAGATTTTCATGTCATAGTAGAAGCTGGAGCTTGCTTCTAGGGCATCAATAGCTGGATTCCTTTATGTTTTGTAAAGGAATTCTGATTTCTGTGTATTTATGTTGCATCTAGATTTTCCAAGTGCCTGCGCAATTTTTGTAACAAATATCCCTATTTTTTTAAAAGTAACCCTTTGAAAAGGAAGTGTGATCTAATGGGAAGGAAAGCATGGGATCAGTTCAGAACATTGGTCTGTTCACACTCTCCTTGAAATACAAGTATCTGCTTCCCTTTTAAAATGTTGCTAAATTTGCAGTCCTTGTTAAGATTTTGGAGAATTTTAACAGACTCAGTGTGACCTTCTCTGTTTCTGCAAAATCAGTTCAGTAAATTAGCAGTTTAGAAGTTCCTGCAATGGGCAAGTATGTCAGGATACCAAAGATTACATAGATTTGGGACCTTATAGGACAAAGTTGCTATAGAAGAATTATGCCTACATTTTTTTTATTTCTCAGGAACTGAGTTTCCCTGTCCATTAACACAAACAGCAGCTTGTAGCACCACTGAAGAAAATAGACAAGTCCATTCAGTGGGGGAAGAGAAGGAGAAATTGAAATATAAAAATTCAAAAGAACCCAAACTTCACATTTTCTTGGGCAATATTAGCAAACTGATTTTTGGTAACATTTTGAAAAAAACACCATCTGTGTGGGTGTGACAGATAAATGAAGCCTTGCAGGACATGTATTTCATATTCCCCAGTTGTTTGAAACTTGCTCCGTTTTCTTGGCAGAGTTATCGATGGGCAGGGTTCTGGATGGGACTTGGGAGACCTGGATTGCAGTTCTGATCCTGTTACTGAGCCATTAAATAAACTTGGGCAAAATGTTAGTTTTCCCATCTGTAAAAACATGATAATGCTACCTGCCTTGTAAAGCACTTTGAGGTGTGTGACTGAGAAAAATAATAAGAAACCAGAGGTTGTTAGGTTTCTTGAACTGCTAATTTAATTTTTTTCTAAACTTGGACCATATGTACTCTTGAAAATTTCCAGTGGTGCTGAGCACAGAGGACATTTCCTGGATCCAATCTGTAAAACAGTGTTCACACTCGCTCAGGGTGGTTATCCAGAGAGCTGAAGAGCATTTGTAGAGAAATAGTTAAATTGGATGAAAGCTGAGGTTACACAGAAAATGGCAAACATGGCAGAGAAGTCCTAGCTTAAAAAAAAAAAACCTGCTGTAGGCAACTTATAGCATGAAAGTATAAACAGCTACTTAGAGGGAAGCATGGAAATGTGACTCTTTATGCTATTTCTTTTTCCTCTGTTACTCTTTCTTTTGTGCTGTCTCTCAAAAGTGCCTGCAGGCAGAATACCTCTGGCTGTAATCTTGACAAATCTCCCAAGCCACTCAGAACTGGCATTCAGTTAGGAGGTTTCAAAGGAAACTGCTACTGCAGAAAGAGGTAGTGATTTCCTTCACTGTGACTCTATTCTTAGCCTGTGCCGTAGCGTAGTACCAGGAGATGCTGCTGGTCTTTCAAGAGAAGCATGAGATCTTGCTAACAAATACCTTAGCATCTTTTTTAATGCAGTGGTGCTGACCCTGTGCCAAATTCCTTGTGGGTAATTGCATTTTACATGCCTGAATTTTTAGTACTCTTTGGCATTATTCATTTGTTTCTGTCCCCTAGTACTTGGTAGTATTTACAATGAGTTTGTAAACAGCTTATGTATTTCACTGTGGGCAAAACTGCATTTCATTCCCACTTGAAGTGATTGATGTCTCTAAATTTATAACATGATCAATGAAGGAAGCTGATGAATCCTGATACATGGGTACTTCTTTTATTAAGAGGGAACTACCAGTTTGTGCATGACCTTGTTGTCCTCTGTTGTTGTTATCTGCCCAGCCACTGTGCTTTTTTCCTTTTTACAATAGTTTGCATGGCACTAAATGTGCTATCCGCTGTGAAGAAGGAAAATACCATAATGGTAGAGAATGTGAACCATGTCACCGTTCCTGTGCCACATGTGCAGGTATCCCACTGGCAGTTATCTGCATTGTTTTCTTTTCTCTATGATTTTAGTTCTGATTTTATTCTGCTGTATCTATAGTTACAGTATAACGTGATTGTTGACATGTAAAAACTTAAGTCTCTTTGTAGTTCTTTAATATATTTTAAATGCAGCAGACTTCTTTCAGCTAACATGAAAATCTAAGTTTTCTAACTGAAAGTGTGCATATACGCTTTTTTCTTTTTTTTTTCTGTGTTTTTTTTTTTCTTTTTTCCTTTTTCTTTCAGTAGAGCTGTTTCTGATTTCCAGTAATGCCCCCCATTTTCTTTCTGGGGTGGAATAATGACTGATAGATTTTGTCTGACAGCCACTTCTTTCAGAAGAAAGATATATTGAAATTATGAAATATTGTTTATTATAACCATGTACATTTATTGCTTGGTGTCACTGTTTGAAAGAAAGCAAGGCAGGGAAAACATAGTCTCTAAAATTACAAGATTTTGCTACAGTTAAAGGTGGTGTCTGTTAGGCAATAAGAGGAACTAGCCAGTAATATAGTATATTTTCTCTCTGGTTTAAGGTGCTGGAGTAGATGCCTGTATAAACTGCACACAGGGTTATTTTATGGAAGATGGAAGATGTGTGCAGTCCTGTAGCAGTGGTTATTACCTTGATCACTCTACTGAAAGTGGATACAAAAGCTGCAAAAGGTATGACCAGTGGCGAATATTTGTGTCTCATATTTTGCAGTATATTAACTATTACTGTGTTGAAAAAGGTAATACTTAAGAGGACATAAAACACTTCTGAAAAATATATTGCATGCTAAGCAGATGAAGGAAAAGTTGTGTTTCTTTATTTTAATCTGAGTTACAGTCATGCAGGTCTCCTAAAAGTGTTTTTTTTCTTGTAAGTACATGTATGTCCTTCACTTGAAAAAAGCCTGTAGTGAGAATCTAAGTAGATATGCATAGAAATGTAAAATTTACAAATCTGGCAGACGATCTGTATTTCTCCGTAACAAATGAAAATAGTCAAACTAGGATTTTTTTTAATTGCTAGTTAATTACTTTGCATAAAGACCATTTCAGTTCTTCAGCTTCATATTCACAAACATGGCACAAGTATATTACCAGACTGATGTCTAGAATAGCTTACCTGACTCATGTACAAATGAATGGAGAATCTTGGACGAGGCTGTGCTGTGCTGTACTGTGCAAGGAAGGGACATTTTTTTCTATTCCCTTCTTTGTTAAACAGATATCATTTGTTGCCCTTTTGGAATTATTTATTATTGACTCACTTTGAGTTCAGGGTAGGAAGGGAATAACAGTTTTTCAAACAAAAAAATAATTGAGACACAATGAAAACATGATGGAGCCAGAAGGATGATGAAAGGACTGAACAGCAGGTCAGTCTTTGCCATCCTGTGGCTTTAGTTTATGCCTTGCTGGTACATGTATACACAATCAACTTAAAACGTTTGTTGATTACTTCTGCATACTTTCAAAATGCTAGAACAATGCAGCTACCTAGTAAAAAACTGTGAACCGAAAATGGTTGCAGGAAAGTATCAGGACTGAGTTGAAGGGGGCATTAATTATTTCTAATTATTGTTATTGTTAGAGGAGCTGATACCTCTAGAAACAGCAAACAAACCCTTTGCAATACAGAAGAGGTCTCCAAGGAACTCTTGTATTTGGGGAGGCCGTAAGACCAATTCCTGACGTTGTCTTTCAGATGCGATGCCAGCTGTTTGGATTGCAGTGGTCAAGGAGACAGAAACTGTACGAGCTGTCCAAGCGGCTATAACCTAGACACTGGTGTCTGTGTAGTGGGAACAGTCTGCAAGGATGGTGAGTGCAATTCTCTGAAAAGATGCATTCTACCACTGGCAGCTTCTTCTTTTACATGTATTGGGTTGGTTTGGTCTGTTTCTTTTTTTTCAATACAGTCTTGATTTGAGGTCTACCTCACTTCTTAATTTTTTCAGGTTTATGAAAAGGAGAAAACAACATTTGCGTGTATTAATAAGATTAGTCACATCCGCTTTACCTGAATTATCCTATAATAGTTTTCCACCCTGCCAACACCTTCTTTTACTTCCTTCTCTGGTGTTCAAAAGCCATTTCCTTCAAAAGATTTTTATATGAAGATCCTAATATGCTATCAATAGAATCACATTTATCTATTTTGCCACTTTAAACTGTGAAAATGTTGACAAGTAAAAAAGATTTTAACTGACTGTAATGTTGCTTTAATTATGTGAAACAGTACTTAGAGCAAAAGAATTCTGAAATAAGGAGCACCCAGTTTGTGGCAGAGATGTGAACTTCCTCCAGGTTCTCTGTGGCAACCAAGATAGCGTTGCATATGATTGGCTTAATTACTCACTAATATTCATTCCTTTCAAATGTCACAATAACAGAGACACTTAGATAACATCTTGCTTCCCTAAAAATGCTACTGTGTGTATTACTTGTAGATATATCCTGAGAAGTGCAGTTCAACAGGAAAATCATACCAGAACAAAGCTCAGTGTTAAGCCATGTGGAAGGTAACTGACATCAGATGTACACAAAGCTAACAATGACTCTTAAGTCCAGCTCATTTCCAATGAGTTTAAATAAGAGTTTTACCAAAGACTTAAAAAAAAGAAGAAAGGGTGCAGGATTGAATCTTGTTGCTGTGGACCTTTACAGCTTCCGTTGGAATTTAGGCCTTCAAACCTTGAAAAGTATCCTGTCCATCATAAAGTTACATTACAGGTACTGGTAAACCAGGCATGAGACTTTTTCACAACAGGACATGAGAAATGTCACTGTAATCTAGAGCAAGTCCAGAGACCAGATACAGATGGACAAATGAAGAGGAAGTGTAATGATAAGAGTTAGAGTAACCACAGTCTCAATGTGGTATTGCAGTTATATTCTGCAATGCAAACATTTGACATACCAGTTTGATCTTTAATATGGTTGGATAAATCTGCCTTCATTTGTGCACATGCAACTTCACTCAGATACATGTGTAGTTGCCCAAGACTGGGGACACTCCATCTCAATACTGTCTCCCCCATTCTTCCAAGTGCAGCTGCCATGAAAGGGCAACACATCAGTGTCTGGGCCTTCAGGCAACTGCGATGCACTGTGCTGGATCCCACCACACAGCATGTATTCTCAACAGTCTAGGGTAGCCAAGAAAAGCCCAGGGGAGATTTCTGTTAATTTACAAAGCATAGAGGGTCTCATTTCACTGCTTGACAATCAAGAACTGGTTACTAGTCTAACTCACTCTATAGGATTTGCATTTCTGTTGAGAATGTTTTATTCTTTTTCTGTGGTTTGACTGTTTTATTCTTTTGATTCATAAAAATTGAGAACAAATTCCTTTGCTGTAAATATCACTGTTTTCTAATTATTCTCTTTCTAATCTTCTTTTCCTTTTCACAAATGGATACCAATCATTCCCTGTCGGACCACACAATATCTCTTCCTGAAAAAAAAAAAAACAAACAAACATAAAAAATGCTGTTGACTGAAATTCCTTTTGATGGACCAAATTTCCTACTTGCTACCTGCTCCTGAATGGTCTCTTCAACCAAATCTGCCTGTCTGACCAATTAAACCTTCCTCCATTGTACACACCATGCTCTCCAAACCTTCAACCTCCCCTCCTTCTCTTGCTGCTGCCCTCCGGAAGCCACGGAAGAGTCCTGGGCCGAGGGCGGATTCTGTATGCTGGTGAAAAAGAACAATCTCTGCCAGCGGAAAGTGCTTCAGCAATTGTGTTGCAGAACATGTACGCACAAGGGGTGAACTGACACCTCCCAGCATCCTCCTGCTCCTGTAGACTTATAGATTATTCCGTATTATTGAAAAAGGAAAAAAGGAAAAAAAAAAAAAGGAAAAAGAAAAAGAAAGCCACCACTCTCTTTCTCCCCCTTCTTTGTCTGGGGAGATGGTGAACTGTTTGTTGGGACTTAAATGGAAAAACTACAACACGCCTACCTTTCATAACTGGGTGTCTAGAGCTGAGCATCCAGAATCACAGAGTCAGTATTGTGTGACCAAAGCATTTGATGCCAAAATTAAAGTTTAACTCATGATTTGATTTCCTGTCAACCTTAGGATTATTCCTGTTTTTTGAAGGTCCTTTTTCTTCCCTTTATTTCCTGCTTCTTTCCCCTTCAAGGTGTTTAAAGAGTGTTTCAAGAATACAACACAAGTTTACATGGATTAAAACTAAACAATACGAAAATGTTTGCATTAGTCTTTTTTGTGCTATGTGTATTGACAGGGGGAACTTCAGTTCCTGAGGGGATCAGAAACATCATTAGCTGCAGGACTAAGTTCTGCCCCTTTTGTAGCAGTATTTAAAAAAAAAGAAAAGTGAACGTTTCTGCACACATTTCTTTCTTACTTCCTCTGCTGTGTGCTGTTTTTTGTATCACATGCAGTATGTATATATGTTTGCCCAAAATGTGGTTTTGGTCATATAGATTTCATTTTTAGACAGCTAGCTTATTAACAGATATGCTAGGATTTTTATTTTATTTTTTTAAATTGTCAAAGCTATTTCAAATAAACTTTAAAAAAAAATTGTTCCTGTAGTGAACAAATCAAAAGATACTACTTTTCTTGGTTTGCATAAGCGAGAGTAATGTATACACTCGGAAATTAGAAAATGTTGCTAACATGTAAGAAGTATTCATAAATTATTGTTGTCTTGTAACGTTCACAAAAAAGGGGATATTATCATACAGATATGTGGAGCTATTTCATAGTGCCCGTATGTAAATGCCAGTGTGATTATATGCAACAGAATGTGTTTACAGGACTGGATTTATAATTGTGCCAAATACATCTCCAGGAATTATTGCATGTAGGGCCATAAATCAATGGTTCTCTTGGTGTAACAATCATGTTATGATGGGCCTGAATCTGCTTGTAACTGCTCACAACAGAAATTTCAGCAGGCAT